TGTGTGTGTGTGTGTGTGTGTGTGTGTGTGTGTGTGTGTGTGTGTGTGTGTGTGTGTGTGTGTGTGTGTGTGTGTGATGATGGAACAGGGGATGATATGGTGTGGTGTGGTGTGGTGTGGTGTGGTAAAGTATGGTAGGGTATGGTATGCGTCATCCAATTTATAGACTCGTATGCAAAAGATCTGAGAAGATTAAACAGAGTGATTGTTTTAACCGCGGTGAACAAGCAAAACACGACACACTGAGCGTCGCTCACACACGCCGCACCACACGAGACAACAAGTGAACAGAGACGCAACAAGAGAAATTATCACCCCAACCACTAGACTCCAGAGCCTCGTCATTCTACCCCATAGATGTACAGGTAACTCTATGTTCTACCCTAAGTACATCACTAACCTGAAGTCTGACACGTCCACGGTACCCACCAAGAAGATTGTGTTGAGCAACAGCAGAGCCACACACAGGTTCAACAGGATTTTGCCCGACTTCTCACCACGCAGCACTCTGTAAAAAAAAAGTTTGAAATGGTATAGGTATAACATCCCTATCAACACTATTAGGTTATTTAAGAGGCGGGACCTCCGAGTTTAAAACCATCTCCGAAAGGACCGAATCCAATGTGAAATTCGTGTAAAGTGCCTTTCCCAAGGACACAACGTCGGACCGAGCTGAGGCTCGAACCTCCGAACCCGAAACCTCACGATTACAGGTCCGGTAGCCTAACCACAAGACCAACGACGCCACCCAGCTCTCTGTTGGGAAACCACAAATTATTGTTTGTGTAGTGCATTATCAACGTTCGTTGCGGTAGTGCTGTACCCTGTTTTTCATTAAAACAGAGCCACCATGTCTTTTTCGTGAACTTGAGTATACGAACCTTTCAATCACTGTTAAAAAGCAAAACAAAAACAAACAAACAAACAAATAAACAAACAAAAACTTACTTGAAAAGAGCGTAAGTGACAATGGTAATAACCAGAGACGCCATTGAGATGGCACAGCCGATGTAGGTGATGTACGTGAGGGCGTCTTCGTGCTCTGAGGGCAGAGCTTCGCCTGTAGAACTCTGAAAACATTTTAAAAAACCCATTGATTTTAGCCTTGTTTTCCTCTTTCACGCCTAAAAATTCAAGAAACTTCTCATCTTGCCTTTGATGACTAAGGACTTCATAAGTTTTTTAAAAAAAGAAAGAAAGAAAGAAAGAAAAGTAGGAAGCTACAGTGTGCACTGAGCTTAAAAAAGGTAAGAAAATTACACCATCTCAAAAATATTCTCCATTCCTTTTCGTTTCGACAGCATTCTGTATGCACAAACACTCACACACACACACACACACACACACACACACACACACACACACACACACACATATATATATATATACACACATATACACACATGATAATATTGATAGCACTTACAATCATTTGTCCCATATTAACTTACAATGCATGTATGTATACATTGTGTTATCAAACTATTGAAGCTGTGCTCAGTGTGTGTGTGCTTCCTTTATGAGAAAGGTGTTTATCAGAAACGTCGAATAAATTTGTGTCTGTTTGTTTGTTTAGTTTTTAGTAAGAGTTGCACGCTCAAGTATTTGTGTTGGGGTTTTCATAAAACCCTTTTCGTAATTCTAACTCTAATACTATAATTGCTGTTGCTGCTGCTGGTTTTTTTTTTTTAATTTATCCCTTTTGGATTGTCTATTTATAAAATATATAAATCATTTATACGATGCCGTAAATAATTTTCTCTTCACTCCATAAAATAGCCGTTGTAAGTTCACGGAGTCCCAACACTCACCAAAAGCACAGCAAAGCTGGTGAGATGAGTAGATTTACAGGTGACTTGTCCGCTTGTGGGGTCTTCCACCGTCTGGACTCCTTGCCTGGACCAACGTGACTCTGAAGGTGGGAATTGTGTGGTTTCTAATTCTGTACAAAATCATTTAGTTAGACCTACACCTTTGATATTGGTGTTTGGTCAGTGTATATCTTTAACGCCCCTTTCAACACTGTAAGGTTAGTTAAGAAGCATTACCTCCAAATTTAACACCCATCTCCGATTGGACCGAACCAAAGTGGCGGGGGAGAGCCTTAAAAGCTCTCCATAACAAATGAAATACAGAACACCCCGTTTGTGGGTTTGAACCAGGACCATCTGTTCTGTACTTCAGTCTGATATTAACCGAGCTGACGGTGCGCCTGACGGTGCGCCTGTTGTTATTGGAGTCTACAAAATTATGCAAAGATGTTATTATCATTTGTGTTACGATCGTCTTTTCTGAAATGAAGCCTCTAATTAATATTGTTATTTCTGCTTTTTCGGGCCTATATTGTGTCAATGAGGGCACAAAACATCAACAACAATGCATAGCAGGGAGATAAGCAAGAAGCTCGATTCTGATTAGGGTGGATGGTACATCGCAGGGCATCCCTGCGACGTAAGCAGTTATGTCTCAAGAAACCTGAAGCTATTTCACAGCGTAAGACTTTAGTTTTTTAGTTTTAGTAAGACTTTTGCGGTACTCACAACACAATACGGTATTATATAAGTGCCGAAAATTAGAGGTGTTACAAGAGAGTAACAAACACAGAAAAAGAAGGAGGAGAGATTGGGACGATATATGTTTGACAGGAAAGAAGGAGCAAACCACACCGGAGCACCCGCCAACCACCAGCGAGCGTACAACATCTGTCCTAATCAATAGCAAATACATGTTGTACTAAAACTTGAAAGTGAAAGCAATAAAAGAAAAGGACACATGTCCTGGAGAGGAAAAATGTTTTACCCTTGTTCAAATGTTCGACACAATTTGTATCAATTAGGAAGCGGGCTTCGACCCTGCCTGTCAAGGGCAACTCAGGCTGAGAGGTATACAACCTCCAAGTAGAATGATGGAAAAACACGATAAAAAATAATCCCACACAAGACTCGAACTCGGGACTTTTGCCTGCGACGCCGAATCGCCTAACCTCTACACCACAGACGCCGGTTCGTCAAAGGTTTGAAATAACGACAAAAACAACAACAATTACAACAAAAAGCAAAAAAACCAAACCCGTCAGGGATTGCAAAATACATGGAAGACAGAATTGATGTTTCAAGCTGTAACACAACATTGCACACAGGCGAATTGGAATTTAAATATTGTTCTTACCTTGTTCGTTCCAAAACACACACGTGTGATTTCGTCCTGCCTGGAAAGGACAAAAAAACCCATACAAGTTACAGAGCAGAGTTCTCAACACTGTGACACGCAACAAACCTTGGTAGGCAAAATCTGTGACGATTCCTCGTCCAAACCCTTATTGATTTTTGTACATACCCCCACCCCCCTTTTCTATCTTCCCCTCTCCTTCCCTCCCCCTTCTCTCTCTCTCTCTATTTCTCTCTCTCTCTCTTTCTCTCTCTCTCTTTCTCTCTCTCTCTTTCTCTCTCTCTCTCTGTTTCTATATCTCTCTCCCTCTTCCCCCTTTCTCTCTTCTATTACAAAATCTCCTGTGGACTTGGCCCTTAGTTCCGTGGATTACCAGTTATCCTACGTCGTATGCCCCCCCCCCCCTTTAACGTAAAGTTAGTAACAACCATCTATATCTGCATGAAACTAGAATCCGTCATATTATAGAACCTTCAGAATGAAAGGATGCTTTTTTTTAAGGGGTGGGGGTGGAGGCGCTTTAAACCGTATGACAGAAAGATTGGTGGTGAAGGAAACGCTTAAAATGCACCAAAGGAGGTGGAAAAAGGGGGATAAGGGGGAGGGGGATGACGCTTAAAATTGTATGAAAGGATTCAGGGGGAAGGGGGGCACTTTAAACTGTATGAAAGGATTGAGGGGGAATCGAAGGTAAAGCTTTAAACTGCACGAAAGGGGAGAGAGGGTGTGTGCTGGGATTGGGGGTGGGGGGGGGGGGGGGGGGGTAGGTGGGATGGAAGCGTTTTAAACAACAAACTATATCTGGCTCACCTGAAGCTTTTTCAGCTTGATCTCTACAGGCTCTGAAAGATTCCTGAAGCTGGCCTGAACGTTCCTGACTGTAGCCGAGAGGACATTCTGCTTGGCAAGGATGTCCTTCTCGGAATCGTTGAACCCCCCGGCGGGCACGAAGAGCTGTGATCGACCGTAACTGACGAAGGAGATGCGAGCGTCTGGCCTTGACTGTAAGCCGGAGAGTTCGCTTTTTGGGAGTTTGATGTAGACATCCTGGTGGGAGAGATGATGGTGGGGGGG